ACTCTTACCAGTGTTGAAACAGCTAGAATAGTTTACTTTAGTTATTTCCATAGCATTATGTCGTATGGTATTTTGCTATGGGGACACGCGACTGACACTGAAATTATATTTATTTTACAGAAGAGGGCCATTAGAGCAATATATAATTTAAAACCAAAAGAGTCACTGAGACAAAAATTTAAGGAAATTAATATATTAACTCTGGCCTCTCAATACATTTATGAAAATGTAATGTACGTTACACAAAAATAAAAGTAGTTTTGCGAAAATAAGTGATATTCATTCTGTAAATACTAGGAGCAGACACAAGCTGGTAGTACCAGTTACTCGACTCCACCGAGTCAGTAATTCATTCTTGGGGCGATGTATACGCTTTTACAACAAAATCCCAGAAAATATACAAAATTTGTCATACACAAAGTTCAAAAGTGTTATTAAACTAAGTTTGCATAAAATGGGTTATTATAATATTAAGGAATTTATAGATGATAATAACCCCTGGGAAGGGTGATCGCTACCAAGCTATTTCTAATTAGTCTTGTGTTGTTGATTGTAAACATGATTGTAAGCTATTATTAAAAAAATAGTCCCGCTGGGTTTCTTGATGGTTCTTCCCAGGACAGAGGTTATTTTTGCGAACCAGTGGTAAATTAAAAAAGTGACTTTCAATAAGTATTTTTATAATCTACATTGAATAAAAAAGTTTCTATTTCTATTTATATTTCTATTTCTATTTCTATTTCTATTCTGATCACGTATCGATCGCTGATGTAATTTTCTTTCTTGTTTTTCAATTTCTGACACGAAAATGTAGTTGCAATAGGCTCGAGACATTTTTTTTGTATTAAAATGGTTTGAAGATAAACTTAAACCCACGTCCGCGAAAGAGGATAAAATTGTCCCTTTCAAATGTCAAAAAGGGATAATTTTTTCTCTTTCCCTTGGCCCCATGCTACGGACGGGGAGATATATGTCCACTCGTTATGTCAAACAGGGATATACTATAGAGATTAGATAATTTTATCTCTTGTCAGTGGATATAATCGGGGGATATAATTTTTGTCTCTTGCCCATGTTCGCAGGGTGGATAAAACTAAGCAAGGGATAAAAATTATATCCTCTCTCCGGGGATATATTCTCTCCGGCTCATGCTAGCCCGGCAGGAGTCATACAAATGATTGAAAACGCAACAAAATGGCATCGGATTATAGAGATGAGCTCATAGAGTGTGAAAGAAAATAAATTCTAATTGAACAGAAAATGGCGTCAAGTAGTGATCAGTCGGAGAAAAGTGACGATTATAATTTTTTTATTATTTATTTCATTGTTCAGGTAAATATTTCCATTTTGTTAGTATACTTAACATTTAAAAACTAGGGGTTAGTAAATTCACAGAATACGTAAGTTATTACTACACAAAATTATTATTTATTATTACAGATGTTGGGTATTGAACCCATATGCACTGTGTTTCAGTACATAATCACAGGGCAATCTTGCCTTCCATATATGGAAGCCAGGAGGTCGTTGGTGTTGTCTCGCACGCGACGTATCAAGGAGGCTATTCTTTTGCTTAATGTTATTGCAAAGCTGTCCATGCGTGCCTCAGCAAACATACGCGATGCGCTGCAAAAGCGTGGCTGCTCCAACAACATTCTGAACCAATTGTTGTACTGAACATGTAGCGCATTGAGAATTCGGCGAGTACACTTCGTCCACAGGCTGCAGGTGTAAAATGTCCGACAGTAAGCCTTGAATAATGTTATCTTAACTTCATTCGTACACCTAGCAAACCTGCGAGCAAGTATATTACACCTCACTGCCAACGCTCTACGTTCCCGTTCAACATCTAAATTGTCAGAGAGATCCTCGGCGATCCAGTGTCCCAGATATCTAAATTTGGTGACTCTACTCAGTGTAACTCCTCCAAGTCTAACATGAGGAACAGACTTAGGTTTTCTATTTCCAGCCTTAAACACGAGTAGTTCACTCTTATAAAAATTATATTTGAGACCATGAGCCGGTGCGTACCTTTCACATATGCCCACTAGCGTTTCGATATCGGCTTTATGAGTCTCATACCTCAAATGAAACAACTTCGTGAATTACAAAAGTTACGCATTCGAAATAAAACTACTCAAATCATAATAGACGAGGCTGAAAGTGTGCGGTTTTCTTCTCATCAGAGATACGAGGAAAATTATGGAGGAAATTCTACTGGCAACTACTTTAATTATTAATTTGATTATTAGAACTTTTTATTTATCTACCCACTTGTTTGATTACTGTCTTCATAAATACTAATTTCTTACTAAAATCTTGTTTTATTCTTACCTCAGAGTAATGAACAATTTCTTCTCAGAACTAATACTTTAGCGAAAGTTTGTATCTCCTTTGGTGAGTTTAGGTGATATTTTACTTAGGATGTAGTCAAATGTTGATACGGGCATTCGAGTGTACTCAAAGAATTTTGTAGGGTTATAATCTTAGTACTTCATACAAATTAAAAAAAATCACCACTTATTTCTCTGTTTTTATTTATATCGTGCATACCGTCTCTAGTGTTCAACACCTCCCTATAATATAAAAAATATAAAATCCTCATCCATAGTTCGCGACCCCTGATATACGTCGAATCGTTACAAGAGCCCGCGCGTCACTGTGTCCACCGCACGACCCCGCTCGCCGCACCCGCCTCAGGCCCTATTCACCGCGCGTTCAGTGTGGACGCACATTTAGCTGGACACACCACGCGGAAGATCGGTCGTTCCTTTGCGGACGATCGGTCGCTCCGTGGCGAACTACTCGTTCTCGCGTCTGCTCCGTCCTCCGCGCACCAATCTTCCATCGGCGTAAGATCGGCAACGTCGCATTCCGGGTATTTGTATACATCGCGCCACATTCGACGGATAACTCGCGGTGACCGCGCACGCACAGTTATGTTCAACACTGAACGATTTATTATCGAAGTGCAAAATTGAGTTTGTCTTTGGGACTCTAGAGAAAAACCGGATAGAACGGCAAAGAAACGAGCATGGGAAGAGATAGCAAAATTATTTTTCGACAGTTGGGATAGTGAAATAGAAACAAAACAGCAAGAACTTGGTGAGTTAATCACTTTATTAATTTGCCTTAGGTATAGGTAAGTACTCGTATAAAATTGAAATCGTAAATTAAAACTATATCACTAATAACAATAACTATATCAGTCACCCTACCTAAATGAAGTTATGTTGCCACTCTAGTGTACCTCCTTCCATTAAATATTTTTTTTAAATAATTCTCTCGTATTTACGGCATTAGACAGTTTAGATGTATGGTATGGTAACGGATTCACTCCCGCGGAAGTTCGGCGTCAGAATTTCCGTCGAGTGTGGCGGTGGCCTAAAAGTACTGATGGACGGGAGAGAAGCTAAAGGGTAAGGGGGGGGGGGGTGAAAGGCCATTTTTTAGTTTTTATTAAATAACTCGTCAACGATTTGTTATAGCAAAAAATAAAACCGGCCAAGAGCGTGTCGGGCCACGCTCAGTGTAGGGTTCCGTAGTTTACCGTCCGTTACAATAAGTGTTCCCACTTATATGAGTTTAAAGGTGGGTATCCATTAGGTTCGCGCTCCTGCAACTGCTCCCGGTAGTGGGTACTGTTGTTTCCATCCAAGTTCAAAATGACTTTCCTAGAAAGTCGTTATAAAGTTCTACTTTTCAGATTTTTTTCCTATTTTCTAAACTTATGGTTCAAAAGTCAGAGAGGGGGGGGGGGACACACATTGTTTTTTACTTTTGGAGCGATTATTTCCGAAATTATTGACACTATCAAAAAATGATTTTATTAAACCCCTATTCATTTTTAAATACCTTTCCAACAATATATCACACGTTAGGGTTGAAATTAAAAAAAAATCACTTCTCACTTTACATATAGGGGGGCTACCCTAATAAAACATTTTTTTTTCCAATTTTTATTTTCCCACTTTGTCTGCGTGATTGATACACATATTGGTACCAAATTTCAGCCTTCTTGTGCTAACGGTCACAGAGATTAAGCGAGGACGGACAGACGGACAGACAGACATGGCGAAACTATAAGGGTTCCTAGTTGACTAAGGAACCCTAAAAATATTTTCCTCTAGTAATCTACATAAATTCTAAAAGGAGAAAAGTTAATTATGAACAATTCTCGCGTTTCAACGTCTTGTCTCAAACTGCTTCGATCGCAAGGTTCGGGCGGCGAGGGCACCTCCAAAAAATCACGACGCACCGGTAGTGTAGTGCGAGCTCTAGTTTCTCGCCAAAATCGGCCAGAGGTAATAAAACGAGTACATCCCGTCGCGACTTGTGATTTTTTTTCTACGTGACAATGAAGTGTGTGAAGTTTGAGAAGTGTTTAATTTATGATGATATAGTCAAAATGGACTTGTGTAGAGTCGGGAGTATAATTGGGATAAAATGTTTAAGAAATAAGACGACTGGTGTCGTTCACAATGCTTGCAGAAGTTAATACGTTAGAAGTGACTCAATAAAAAGATTTTGAGAGTCAAGTTCTTTCAGAGCAACCATCAACATCACGTGGTGATGTTGATGGTTGCTCTGAACCACAACCACACCGAATCGCAGCGACAAAATGTGAATAGTGACAGCTTTTTGTAGTTGCGTTGTGCGCCAAAATGCGACAAAATGTCAATGTGGTTGCGTTGTCGCTAGTAGTTGCGATGTGGTTACGTCGTATGCAGGCACAGTTCAACTCCGGCTCATAAAATATGTTTTATAAATAATGCTTAAAATCATTTACACTACAAAATGCGCCCGCCCACGTGATGTGGTTGCGGTTGTGGTTGTGTTTGTGGTTATAGTACGTGTGGGTAGACCCTAAGCGTCGAACCATTATCAAAGTTCCTACGACAACGTTTCACGATTTCGTGCTTCTTCCTGGACAAGAGATAAACGATGAGTGGGGTAACGGCGTAGTAAGATATGCACTGTTGGAGATCTACACGCCATAGATGCAATATGTCACGTGCATTGTTACAAAAAACTCACCCTTGTCACTCTACCTTCAAAAAGAAAAGCTGGACGGACACCCTATTGATGAAGGGATTTCAAAAGCAATGAACGACATCAACGATTACACAAACGATAACTGCCAGTATTCTATGGACAATTTGTTGGGACAGATTACGGGAGAACCACCAACTGTGAAAACCATCAAATTCAGAATGAAGGTATGGGGACCAAATTCTTTCAGTGCAACTCGCACCAAACAAATAGTCGTATGCTATCTTGCAACAGGTGTACTGATGAACATGTAGAAAATGACAGAATTGTATGAAAAGCCGCTGAGATTATCTTGAAAGATATTGAATCCATGGCTTACGATAACAGTACCTTTTTTTTAATTAATTATCCATAATTTTGTTACATTATCCAGTACAATACTAGCATATAAACTTCTAGGGGTTTATTTACGCTAGAGAGTCGTCTTATATAAACAAAGATGTATTAATATTCATTCACATTATTCTAACAGAACTACCTACTAAAATAAGTATGGTTGATTTAACAAATATGATTTATGTTTTCTTTTAAACAGTTTGAATTTACCGTAAGTTTCTTGTAATTCTATTAGCAATTCATTAATAAAAGTAGGTACAAGATAAGCGGACTTTCTTGCTCCATAGAAATTTTTAGTTTTCAGAAGTACATACATGTTGGATTTATAAGCTATATTTCGTAGATTTACAGGTAATTTTTTAAGAACTAGATATTATGAATTATTAACTGCCGTCAGTATATTAAATTTAACTATATCTATAAACATTTATGACTTTGCAATATTTAAAAAGGCCCTGGTCATTATCTATGTACTTATTTTTAATGTGATCCTCCTTTAACTAGCTTCTGCAGGGAGGCTGAAGATTTGATAACTCAATCTCTCACAGTTTTCACAGACTGCCTTGTAAAGAAAAAAGGGTCACAAGAGACTGTGAAATAAAAAAAGGCAATTATGGCTCATACACTTATTGCTGCTGTTCGCCTTAGATGTTTCATATCCCCTATTTTGTCCAGCATCGCTAGTTCATATACCGAAAATATGGATCCAAGAACTTCGTGGACCTTCTATCGGAGTTGGGTATTAGAGACCAACACAGCTCTCGATCTCAACCAAACCACAAGTGTAGAAAATGGTGATTTCCTACTACACCGTATGAAATAGAAACCGTCCTCCAACATTTCTTCGATTTGGCATCAGTACATTTATCAACAATACATCAGTACATTACCTACGTACAGAAACATTACGGTCCACCAAATGATATGATGGTTTTTGATGGTTACAGTGATGTCAATAGCACAAAACGAGCAGAGCAGAAGCGACGGAGTTAGACTAAAACGTCCGTTGACATTAACTGTAACGAAAATAAAATCATCACTGTTTGACAGGAGTTTTTCTTTGGCAATGAAAATAATAAAATAAGACTGATTCAGTATCTCACCGCGGAAACCACAACAGCAGGAATTCAAACAACTGTTGCAACAAGAGATACTGATAGTATTATTGTCAGGTGCGGGTTGGACAAGGCTGTCGTTCCCAGAGGACCGATCAAGTCCCTCAGGTCACCTACCATCTTCATGGCGGTGGCACGATGAGATGGGGTGACCGACGAGGGGCTGGACCACAGTACCGGGGTCTGACGGAATCCCGAGCCGTGCCCTAGTGCTGAGTCTGGTTACCCCGGGAGACAGGCTCAGGCATCTATTTACCAGCTGTCTGCGGTGTGTCACGTTCCCCACAGCCTGGAACGAGGCAAGGCTGGTCCTCTTGAAGAAGGAGGGCAGGGCCGCTGATTCTTCCTCTGCGTACCGCCCCATATGACTGTTGGACGAGATTGGAAAATTGTTCGAGAGGATAGTTACCACTCGGCTCAATAAACATCTGTCGCGTGTCGGTCCCGATTTGGCTGATGCCAGTTTGGGTTCCGACAAGAGCGTTCCACCGTAGACGCGATTATGCGCATCCGCTCCCTGTCGGAACAAACAGTATCCCAGGGTGGCTTGGTGTTGGCGCTTAGCCGTGAAATCATCAACTCATTTAATTCCCTACCCTGGGATGCAATCAGGAGGGCATTGGCACGTCACCAGGTGCCCCCTTACCTGCAAGGTATTATCGTGAACTACTTGCGCGACAGGTACATATTGTACATTGGGCAAGATGGTAGGAAGATCCGGAGAGAAATCAAACGTGGGGTTTTACAGGGCTCGGTGCTGGGTCCACTATTGTGTAACATCGCGTACCCGATGGCGTAAATATCGTGTGCTATGCCGACGACACATTGGTGATCGCCATCGGGATAACTTTCGAGAGGGCCAATGAGCTCGCCGAGCTTGGGGCGGAAGTCGTTGTCGTCAAAATATACGAGTTGGGCTTAGAAATAGCGCCTAATAAGACCGAGGCTCTATAGTTTCATAAATTAACACGGGGCAGGGAACCACTCAATTCGTGCGATCGCATGGGTGGGTCTGTAGTACCCCTGATTGAAAGGGTGGCGGTTGCTATGCATAGACTGCTGCCAATCTAGGCGGACCTACGGAGAAAGTAAGTCGCCTCTACGCGGGAGTTATACGGTTAGTATTATGTATGGGCAAAAAGGCTGGCCATTCGACGCTGTAGAACTAAAATCTACATCGTGCAGCGGAGGATGGCGATACGGATCGTACGAGGATACCGCACTATATCCTTTGAGGCGGTGACAATCCTGACTCGCTTTCCACCACTAGATATACTGGCAGAGATGGACGCGAGGGTCTACGCGGTGGTAGTGAGCCAGAAGAGGCACTCGAATCAATTAAACGGCAGGAACGGCAAAACGCCCTGGCGACATGGTGCACTCATCTCGAGGAGCGCTATGAACGCAAACGCATCATTGGAGCAATCCTGCCGGTCTTCGAAGCCTGGATGCAGCGACAAGTAAGAAGGCTCACCCACGGACTTACACAGATAATTACCGGGCACGGGTGCTCCGGTGATTACTTGTGTAAGATTGGACGCGAGGTAACAGCAAACTGCTTCCACTGCGGACGACGGGACCAGGACTCCGCTTCTCACACGCTCGCATTATGCCCAGCGTGGGAATGGGAGCGGACGATTCTGGTAAACCGCATTGGACGGAACCACTCCCTATCAGCAGTCGTGTCGGCAAAGCTGAGCGGGGACTCGTCTTGGAGGGCCGTAGCCACCTTCTGTGTATCCGTTATGATTCAAAAAGAGGCTTCTGAGCGAGATCGGGAAAGGGTGGATCCCGCTCGGAGACGACGTCACCAAGGCCATGGCCCTCGTCTTGAAAACGGTGTTCCCCTACCAGAAACGGGGCCTCTGGGGTTGCAGGCGCTCGAGGAGGGGACCTCAAACGCCTAGTTATGTAACCCCTGAGGAGGACGATGACTCAGAAGTGGTCTCGAGATATCGTGGTAGCACTGCGAGGGTGCTGGGAGTAGCAAGTATTGCCCCTGGGACGTGTTATTAGTGTAGCAAAGCGTTGGAGGGACTCCGGTTGCGTTTCAAACGGAGATCCCGGGACCCCTCGTATACGATGATGGTGACCACCGTGGGGTTTTGGCCGGAAGGATGCCGGACATAACCTTCTCGTTGCCCCCGCAACAAAAGGTATCCATGAGGATTTCCCCACGAAAAAAAGGCTGTCGTTCATCCAAAAGTTGTAATAGTTGGGGGGGGATGTCGACTTGATATTCCTCCTTATGGGATTGGCTCCACCAAATATTTTTTATTTATTTATTTATTACACAAAAAACACTGTCGGTTGTTCTTCATACAACTTTCGCCAAACTGCAGGGCAGTTTGTTGGCGAATACATCACCCTTTTACATTATATGTGCCTACTGTAAATTTTATGATCCTTAAGAAATTAAAATACACATAAACTGTACCTACTGTAATTTTAACTGCAATCCTTAAAAACTTAAAAATAGAAAATTTAATTTACACTAATTTAAAATATTTAAACTAATTAAAACTAAGCGCTGTTACTACTGTTACATACCTTATTATGCAACCTTATTAATATTTAAACTCATTAAACACATTTAAAATCAAATTAATTTATAACTATAACTTAAATTAAGACAATATTAATTATTACACATATAATTATCCGGCAACCACGCTTTCAACTTCTTTTTAAATATTTCTTTATTACTACATTTGTTTTCAGAAAATATCTCATTGAAAATACATGGTACTAGATATTTTCTCGTCCCCTTGCCGTAACAATTATTAACCCTATGCTCAACGTATTCCTTTCGCGAAGTAATTTTAATATGTTTTTAAATGTTTGAAATGTTTTAAACTTTAGAAATTTAAATTGATCTATTGCAATTAAGTACTTAAGTTTTACATGCACAGGTAATATTCTAAAATTTTTAAATAAATTATTATAATTTCCGTCTATGTTATATTTTTTCTTTGTTTTTTTTTCATCAATAAGCATTTTTATTAATCTAATTTGCAACTTAAGAATTCTATCTGTATATGTTTGAAAAGTACGTCCATATGCAATTAGTCCATAACTCAGGGCTGAATCAGCTAGTGTATAGTAAAGCATATATATGATTTACCTGCTTACTTTAAGTTTTAAGTTATTAAGCCTAGATAATATGGATCTTAACCTATCACAGACAATGTCAATATGTAATTTCCAACTAAAACTACAGTCTATTGTTAGCCCTAAGTACTTGTAACTATTCACAACTTCTATGGTTTTACATTCGCATTGTTCCAGTTTATTATGTAAGCACTCGTACGAATGACCAATGATGTTAATTTCCTCACTAGGTTTTCTCATATAAGGAGAGTGTAGAAGCATACATTTTGTTTTGGATACGTTAAGTACAATGCCGTTGTACTGTGCCCATTTTAGAATACTGATAAAATCATCCTGCAACCTCTCCTCAATAATTTTAACATCCCTGTCAGCGTACATCAGTCAACGTTATCAATGCTATTCACGTGCATGATGTACCCAACAGGTCCGAATACGGAGCCGGTTGGCACACCCAGTGTTACGTTAGCTTCTTTCCCAGTCGTTCCATTAACCTACTGTGTATTTTTCTATTCTTCAAGTAATTTCGGAACCATTTGTTCATTGGGCCTCGAATCCCACACTCTTGCATTGCTTCAAGAAGCATTTCGTGATCCAACGTGTCAAACGCTTTTTTGAAATCAATGAACAATACAACAACATAATTTTTATTGTTTAGTTTACCATTAACGTCATCGGTAAATCGTGATAGTGCGGTAGATGTACTGTATGATTTCCTAAACCCATGCTGTGCTGTAGATATCATATGATTTTTTTTCCAAAAACATACTAATTTTCATAACTATTACTTTTTCAACTATTTTATTTATTACTGACAATGTAGCAATCAGCCTATAATTGGAATATTCTAAATGATTACCATGTTTAAATATTGGACGAATAATTGCCTTTTTTAAGTAATTTGGATATGCACCGTTTTGCACGCACATAGTCACAAATTTTGCAAGCAACGGGCTGATATCCTTCTTTACATACTTTAAATCCTTTACTCTTATTTCATCTACACCCGGTGATTTATTACAGTCTAATTTATCTATATTTTTTTCAATTTCGTTCGATGATACTGCTTTATAACGAAAAGATACGTCACTCGTATTTACAAAAGTGGTACGATCTAAAAATTTATAATTACAATAATGTTTTATTTTCCCAATTTCCTCTGTAAATGTTTTAGAGAAATTTGAACATATATTAAGCACCGTATCTGTCTTTCCTAAATATTTCATAATAAAACTATCTAAATTATCATTATTTTTTCCCAACCAATTATTAACGATTTCCCAGACCTTCCTACAATCTCCTTTACAATTTAAAATTTCATTTTTTCTAGATTTGTTTTTCGCTAAATTTAATAATTTATTTGTTTTATTTCTGTGCCGCGTGTATTCTAGCCTGTAATTCATATTTTTGGGATTAGCCCTCCACTTCCTAAACAAATAATCTCTTCGGTCTATCATCATTTTTAATGTATGACTAATCCACGGCTGTGTTGCTCGTTTATTTCTGCTTATTTTTATAGCTATTCTGGACTCCTCATAAATATTTTTAAACAAAATACGTAACCTATCATAAATTAATAACGGGCAATTAAGTTACGACGCAAGAACGTAAATTAATAATTCATTCCAATTTATGTCTTTTAATTGTTCTTTAACTAATTTATCCTTTAAAACTTCAATATAATTATCACTATCGCACTTCGTTTCGTATTGTTGCGTGGCTAAGTTGACATCTCATCTCATGCCACTAACGTCGTCTAGTGTCGGGTAACAGAGCGAGGAGAGAGCTTTCCAGAAAATGACATGACAATTTTTTTAACCGACAGCGCCATCTGTTGTCGAAACGAAGAACTAAGCTTCTAGAAGCCCGACACTCGAACTTTCGATGCTTAGTCGATTGGCGCGCGTATTTACTTGAATGTTCTGGATTTTTCGGTGCTAAGGTGTATT